TCCGTAGCACGTATGTTGCATACAGAGATGCCCTTTTCTCTTGGGGAACCCCCAGAATGGCTGGACCTCCGTCTGGGTACGGATGACCTACCGGATGCCTATCGGGGTTTGCCTGTCGCCGATTCCCACCTACCTTTTTCAAATGTGGCTATTTTCGTGCCGGGGGTGGGCTGGAGATTCACATGTATGTGGGGTCTGGCGTATGGCTTGGAAAGTGCTGTGGTGAACTTCAACCGTTTCCCACAACTTGGTATCGCCATCACTAGGCGCTGCCTATTAGGGTGTGCAGCTGCGTACTTTGATGACGAACTGGCAGTGGAGTGCATTCGTGATTGCGATGTCTCCCAAAGAAACCTACAACTTGTGTTCAAGTTGTTAGGCGCCCCACCGCAGAGTTCCAAGAGCTTCGCACCTGCACCCAATAGGCACTACCTGGGCACATCTGTCCATGTAGGAGACTTTGGCTGGTTGGGGGTCATCCGTTTCCAACCAAAGACTTCCACAACCATGAAAGTCCAAGCCAAGCTCCACGAGGCGATTGTGACCAAGCAACTCCGCCCAGATGATGCGGGGAAACTTCGTGGTGACCTCAACTGGCTTTTCAGCATGTGCGCAGGACATGCAGGCCGCTTTGCTGGCCCTGTGCTGGCGGCAAAGCAACATGCCTCATCCCCTGTCCTACTGGAATCTGAGGCCACCACCCTCCAACTTCTCAGCATCATGCTTCGCACAGCCAGGCCCCGGGATGTTGAGGTGTGCTCCGCTACCAAATCCCCCCTGGTGATTTACTCGGATGCATCCTTCGAAAACGGTGCATTACGAGTGGGATGGGTACTTATGACCTCACCTCCATTAGGAGTGTCGTGTCTCGTCCCATCGGAAGTGACAGATACCTGGATAACACGTCATCAGCAGATCTACCCTGGAGAGACGCTTTGTGGACTCCTCGTGCCGTGGGTCCATGGTGATCGCCTGGAGGGTCGAGATCTCCTCTGGTTCGTTGATAATGAGGCTGCTGTTTCCTCATTAATTAAAGGTTCCAGCGGACAAGAAGACGTTCACACCATTGTCCAGCTGTCACATCTGATTTTCCAGAAACGCCAGATTCGACCGTGGTTTGAATGGATCGACTCTGCCAGTAACCCGTCAGACGGGTTGTCCAGGTTGGGTATTGAGGATTCCTGGACCCAAACCCAACCTGGCATTTGCGCGAGTTGTCCTTCCCAGTCGAATTCCTTTTTGTGGCTAAGCCTACGGACCTACAACCTTTCCTCTCCTTAGTGAACAGTGGGTGATTGTTATTTAACAGTGGGTGATCAGGTATGTTCATCAAAGATGACATAAAAAGCTAGTCTGT